GAGATAGAGATGCGGTTGAGGGCAGCAAGGTTATGCCCACAATGGTGTTGGCATGGTTGAGTTACCAAGACAAATCCTCAAGAAAAGGAAAAGAAAGACATAGACAAAAGATCCCAAGAAAGGTGCCACTGGTCCTGCAATTTCAACTGGAAGAGGCACATGTGTGTGTGTGGCCTGAATCAATGAATGGTTCAAGGGAAGCCAAAGTTCCCCAAAGCGAAAGAACATCATATGCAGGGTGTTAAAGAGAAGCACAAACCTAGATGACAAGACATTGCAATGTTTGTAAAAAAAAAAGAAGGATAAAACTAAGCACAATTGAGATGAGAGTGGTAGAATATGCATAAATGTATCAAATATGGAGCAAGTATAAGAAAAGACTTGGAAGGCTTTATAAGTATTCTCCAGCAGAAGAATGCATGTGTGCTAGGAGTCCACTTGAGAAGGGGTAAGGAGAAGCTAATTATACATGTAATACTGTAACCTCAGTCCCAATCTGTAAACAAGGTGAGTGAATTCCCCCATAACTCAAAGAAAGACATATGGAGTAAAAGCTATGCCTAAGGAACGAGCATGGAATTGAAAGACATGTACCCGAGGGATGAAACAGAGAAAATGTCTGGGGAACAGGCAATCAAAATGTGTAGAAAGGTGTCTGAATTTTTGAGCTTGGTCATCCATAGTCCAGGTAAAAAAAGAACCACCAAAGAGAAAAGAAACCCTCCATATGAAAACAAGGTATGATAAGAAACTGAATGAGAGATGACAGGTTAATTACTGGACCAGAAAAAGACAAAAGTAATAACCAGATGTAGAGTAAATACCCTCTCAATGGCATTCTTGGCCAAGAGATCTGAGATCACATCTTCGAGATACTGAAGATAAAGAGGAATAGAGGAAGGAGGAATGGAAAAGGGAGGAGATGAAGAGAAATGGACATACAAGTTGTTGGTGAGAACCTGAAGAGCCCATCTGTTGAAAAAAAAAGGAGACCAAAGGCTGGTGAAGAAAAACAGATCTGACAGGGTAGTCATTGGCAAGACGAGCAATGACCCTAACATTAGGAAGTTGGGGGGAGGGAAAGTAGAAGAAGGCTGGGTAGCTGGAATGGGAAGGGGAGACATGGATTCAGCAGGCCTAGGAATAGGAACAGAATGGTGAAGCTGAAAAAGATGGGAAGCTGATGTTGAGCCACCTTAGCCCAGGTTTCCAATGAGTCAGGAACACCTCTGACGACTTCAGATTGAAGAAATAGAACCCAGGTAAGTTCACAAAGATAAGTATGAGGGAGGTGTACATTAACTAGGAAAGCATCTTGCCCCAACAGCAGGGGAACCAAGTAGGGAAAGGTAAAGCAGGAGAAGAAGTACAGGCCAGTGTAGTGAAAAGAAGAGAACAAATCTCTTCAGAAAACCTCTTTAAAATGATCAAGTGTCTTAGACATAAGGTGAAGTGATGAGGGGTAATGCAAGAGGATGGTAAGATAGAAATAAAGGTGTGAAAATTAGGTACTAGAAAGGGAAATAAATGTTAAGGAGTCTAAAGCATAAACAGAAATTCCAAAGACTGGGAATCGCATAATGGAAATGAAGAATGATGGTAAGCCAGGACAAAAGAATCAAGTAGATGAGGAAGACAAGGAATGTTAGTATGGATGTGCAGTTGTTTGAAAAATAAGACTGAATGGACCCTAATGTCAGGTAAAGGAAGGAATACAAAGTTGTCTTGAGTATGAATTTCATGTAGTAAAGTATGGGAGGAATCAAACAACAAAGGCAAAAGAGAAATAAAAGAACATACCTGCAAAGAAGAAATGAAAAGAGTGAGGGTTTCCCTCCACAGATAAAACTGTGACTAGAAAAAACCCTGTCAAAATTGTCATTATTCTCACCATTGTCAAACTGGGGAGAAGTAGCACAGGCTGAATAGATGGGAGGAGTAAAAAACACCCATTCAAAACAATGCAGAAGAAAAGAATGAAGTTATTTTGAGCACAAGTGCCTATTGGAAGTTACTGTGCAAAGAGGTTGTGTTGACCTTCTATTACTGGGCAGCTACCATCACATTATGATGTAATCATGCATTAGTGCAGTTCGTGTTGCCCATGTGATTTTTACATGGCAATAAGCTCAAGACTAGTGGCATGCAAATCTCATAGGCAGATGCCTGAGGGATCAAACTATCCTGTGTGTAAAGGTGAGGTATCACCTCAGAATAAATGTTTCTGGTGGTAGCAGCTCTACAAAAATAATGCAGTTAACCTTTACAATAACACTGAAAGTAATTGCATACTCCAATAGTATTGTCTATGAAGGTTAATGTAATATTGATAATATATAAAATTTCAGTGTTTTTCAATTTAAAAAATTTTAATTTGAAGATTTCGAATTTGGGCAAAAACAGTCTGTAAGGGGTGTTGGAAAATAAATTACACTTTTTTCCCAGAGAGCATAAGAAAGTAAAATAATATTTTAATTTAATCAAAAAAGTAATTCCAAGTACCAATGTTGATTGATTGAGCCACCACTGTTCTCACGCATAAGTTTTAATCGATTTGCAAAAGATTTCAGCAATGCAACAAACATGTCTTTTTTTTGTGGCTGTCTCTGTAAGCACATCAGTGAGAACATGAATCAAGGTTTCATATTTGTGTCTCTCACATTCAGTTAACAACATTTCTTCTTTGCATTGTTCAACGAAAGCTCCAACATTTTCAGCGAAATTTAAATCTAGAGAGTTCCCAATCCACATTCCACCACTTTGTCACGGACCACTCTTTCAAATTCAACAATTCTGAAACTTTTGAGGCATTAATCGGATTTTTGAAATCTGGCATTGCGATGTGTCGTTGGAAGGCTTGAATCCTTGAAGCATGTCTGCGACTAGTTTCTAAGCCATCCGAAGGCAGCACATGTGACACGAACCTGAGTTTTAGTGAGCACCATGATTCAAAAGTTTTCACAACAAATTAAATTTGAAGAGTCAAACACCCAAGAGTACGTTGAAATGATGTTTTCTTATGAGTGATGATATTTGCGTTCCTACCAAGTTTGTCATTACTTCTGGGATAAAAGTGTGATTTATTTTGCAACTCCCCTTATGTTCTTAATATGGATTAACAACAATCTCACTGGTCAAAAACTTAGTAATTGCTGATGCAGGCAGTTATGAATGGTATATACAACCACCAAAAACCACCCCTTTTTTCTATAGCTTAAAATTTAAACCAGACTCACAATGTCTTGCATGACAAAAATATAACAAATAGGCAAAATAAATAGCTATGCTGGTTAAATCTTTGTCTGATAAGGCTTAAAACCAACAAAGATGTAATTGCATATTCTTTAGATACATCATTTACATATTTTTGTGTTCCATTTCTAATGTATTTCAATATTTTATCATTCAATTTATTACATTAGTACACTAAAAACAATTGTACAAAACACAAGAAAAATTCTCACCTTGTTACTATCTTTTCTACCAGTAAATTCCTCTTGAAAAGGATCCCCTCCAAAAGGATCAGAGGGAGTTGATTCTATTATTCCACTGTCCTTGAAAGGATCTTCTACAAATGGAAATATTAAATCAAATGTATTAAAAGAAAACATGAGTTCAACCTCAATAAAAAATATGTAATACCTCTACCTGAAATACCGAAATGTTAAAAACCAATTTAATATTCAATGGCTTAAAAATCCATGAACAGTTAATATTTCTATGGTTGAAATGACTGTCCTACTTTTGCACTTGAGCTAATTAGGTTTATTTTACAGTTTAAAATCAGAAAATCTCATGCTATAACTCTGGCTTAAAAAATTGTTGAAACTTTATAATGTTTACTAACCTTTAAATGGATCCTCGTTGCCAAAAGGATCACTAGAAAATCCATTAAAGCCGCTATCAAATGAGTCTTCATTTTTTTTAACAGGTTCTGTAAACTCACTGAAGAAGTCTTCTTGTTTAAATATATCTTCCACTTTATTGGATAAATCTGGTGGCTTTTGAAATGAAGCTGTTGCTTGATCTTTGGAATCTTCAGCTTTGGACACATCCTCCTTTCTAGAAGAATCTTTAAGTGCCTTGAAAGGATCATCAACATGAAATGAGGTTTCTAATTTACCAAAAGGATCTTCCTAGAAAATAATAAACAAGGAAAATTAAGATTTTCCACTTCAGAAGAATACGGCAATATAATTTTGGGTCCTATAGCAATATTTTCAGTGCACAAACCATTTTTACAAATAAAATTAAACAATCTTATTAAATGTGCATAAACAAATGTTTTCCTACAACAAAGTTTCAGTGCTTCACTATATTCTTAAGATTGTGAGACCATTCAACACACATAAAAGAAATTGTCAGTTTCCAAGAAATGTATAAGCATAAATCTTAAGAACTTTTTTAAAGATGGGAGTGAGGGTGATGCTATCACACTTTGCTTAAGGCCTAGAGTTCTACTTACAAAGTACAATGATGAGAATATTTTCTTTGTTATCTGTTGGCAAGGTCCCAATATGAGACTTCCACTAAACAGCATATGCTAGTCAAAAAAAATCACATGAACTATTTTTGATTATGAGATGCCCAATATTGAGTGAACACTCAGTGTTTTCACACACAGTGTTCTGTTTTTCTTGCAACCCACATAATACACTTTCACAGTAGCCATATGTGGTTGATTCAATTATACCACTGAAGAATATTAACACTCTCCAGTACAGTGGCACTATATAGGCTACTTTTGTATATGCATTCATAAAAATTAATAAACCATAAACAAAACTATACTTGACACACAAACATAATAACCACTGCATGTTTATGAATCTAAATATGATTTTGTTTGGTTAATTTATGCAGGCTTCATACAAGCCTATTAGTAATAAATGGTGCCTGTCCATGATGTTGAAAAGTTTGGCAATAAAAGATGTTAGATATTTTTGAAACTAACAGAAACAGATAATCAAGAAAGGTTTCTGACATAATAACTAAAAGTTTAGAAATTTAAAATTCTTATAAGAAAGAAAGTGTGAGTTCTACATTACATAGATTGCAGGGAAGAAAATGATCCAAGCTTTTACATGATGTTTTTGTTTTTAGAAGCTTGTAATTTGTATAATAATAATAATAAAAAATCCAGTTAGTTAAATTTTACAGTTTTGGAAACCATCAACTTCACAAATTCACTGTTTTTCAAACTAATTGTGTTATAAATAAGCAATAAACATGTACATGACAACAGATTTACATCTCTCTTTTGGAAGTTGGCAAGTTTTATCTATGCTTGCAGGAAAGTTAAACATTTATACTCTCCAAGTACAAATTACAGTTGGTTGGGCAAAAAATCAAAATTACAGCTACAGGTTTTTTAAGTTACTTTGAAACAAATGTTCATAAAATTCTAAATCTGAACATTTCAATTATACTTTTATCTTGTAGATAATTTGAAGGGAGAAATCAGGCAGAAATTTTTGAAACCTAATATGTCATTTGTTCATAAAAAACAAGATGGTGGGATGGATAAAGTTAAATAAAAAGTTAAAAAACATACAAAAAGAACAAATGTGCACCTTTTAGTAAGTTAGTTAATAAAGTCTGCTATAAAATTTTTCCTTTTCCAGGCATCTTTTATAAGTAATTCTTTTTGAAATAGAAAACACGAGTAAAAGGTAACATAAGAGACTAGTAGTTCTAAAATATAATAATGGCTATAGTAAAAAGTGGTATTTCTGCAAGCTTTGTCCATTTACAGGTATATGTAACAGGAGTTTATGCTTCTGTTGATAGATTTTCTTACACATATGTATAATAAATATTAAGCATATTCTTCCTACTTAACTAATATAACTTAGTCTGTTTTGCATATATCAGAAAATGAAAATTATGAATCCACTAGTATATTTCAAATAGAATTACAATTTTTTGTTACAAATACAAAATTGTGTGTGATGAATATTAAAAATGAAATATAAAAAAACATGAATAAAGTTTATGTTTTGTCTAATGGAACTCAATAATCTAAGTAACAAATCAAATTTGAAAAATCAATGACCTTTTTAATAACAGCTCTCCACAATAACACTAATGTAATATCGAATAACATTCTTTTAAACAAATATTGAAAATGGAGAACTCATGTTGTTGTTGTTTTCTGCTATAAACTTGTTTAACAAGTTTATAAATTAGATCTTAAACCAATAACCTAAGTGAGAAGTCTTGCAAGTTTTAATGATGAGACAAAAAATTCAGACAGGACCTACTTCTGCCATCAGCTGCTGACCATCTACTTCAGTGATGCTTATAGGAGCTACCTGAACACAGCCATTGTTCATCACATTAAATGATCCTTCTATATGAAACTCAGCTATTACTTCATTCATTTTTAGCTGTTGTTGTCGTAGGTGTTCAATTGTTTTCTTAGTCTGGGACCAATGAAAAAATTTATACCATTTAATTTTTAAAGTAAGTAAAGAAAGTATTTCAAGGATAATGCTTGCAACAAAGATTAATTAAATATTTAACCTGTAATATGCCCAGCCATAATTTGGATAGCTTTAGTGCTTTATTTTAGGGTCAAATAAATGAAAATGATACCATATATATTTTGTTACTGGTCTTTAAAATAAATTGTTTGAAAATGAGCAAAATTTCAAAGCAAAAGATTTTAAGCACTCACAAACTTGAAATAACCAAAATTGTAATTTTACTATTATTCATAAGCCTTTTTTCCAGATGGAATTATACATGAATAAGAACTTACAGATCTACTATTCTTGACAATTTTCTTCCACATAACAAAACTGCAGTTATTATGGCTAATGATGGTTTAGTAGCAACCTTAATTTTCTTATGTTTTTTATCAACCTAAGTTTCTTAAATTTTGCTTCAAAATCCTACAATAAATCCTTACATTTTTCTTGAGGGTTAGCATGAAAGATTTGAGCCTACAAAAAGTACTCTCTACATTGTGTGACCATACTTGAGCTGTCAACCAAAAGTAATGTTATTAGGTATCTGTAAGTGCTACGACTATTAACAATTAAAAAAATTAACAGCTACAGCTGTCTTAAGAAAATAAAGACAGAAAATTATAAAAGAATTTAGGAGAATTAGGAAGGCTGATAAAAAAAGAAGGAAAGTTAGGGCTTTTAGAGAGCCTATTAATGTATTAGACATTGCAATTTACCTGATCAATTTCAGACTGTGTCATTTTGACTGTTTTAAACAATGAGTCTAGTCTATTTTGTCCATCAGTTATTTGTTTCTGAAGACTAGTCTCTTCCTGACGCAACTCATTTAGTTCATGCCTTTTTTCATTTAGAGCAAGTTCTTGGTCCTGTGAGGATGACATGAAAATACAATTTCAGATCATTATGTCTCTGTATTCAACACAAACTCTTATTAGTATGACATAAACAATCAATCTCGCATAATTTAGTTCCAATTTGGTTTTTGGTTTTCAGAAGGCATAAAATACAACTTCGTATAATTTGGTTCATGTTTTTGTATTTACAGTCAGTTTTTGATCCTGTTAGAATGATAAAAAATATAAAATCAAGCTATTCTGATAACTCGTATCTTTTTATATTTAAAGCACGATTTTGGTCTTGTTAGAATGACACACACACAAACACACATAAATGTACTAATTCAGATCCTATAATTTATTTTGTATTTAAAGCAAACTCTTGGTTTTGTCATGATGACAAAAATATAGTCTTACACTTGCACACAAAAATTTATTTTTCTAGCAATATAATTGATAATTTTTAAACTTTCATCTGAATGAACATTAATTTTCAAATTATTTTCTGATCTTGAATTTGGTGTAATCAGATGCATTTGAATGTATTCAATATGATGGCACTTTATCAACTATATTCACAAACACACACATTCAGAATTTTCAAGTATACTTAAGAGAATTTTTTGTAGCACTGAGCTACACAATGGACTATTTGCTTTGTGTCCAATGTGGGGATTTAACCTTGAATAATACCATTATAAACCATTAATTTACAGTTTTTAATGATGAACCACTGGGTGACATTTAAGATACTGTTTCTTTGGTTTCTAAATACTATATTTCACAATTTCTTGTGGAATTGATTAAAAAAAATTGAAGAAGTGATGTTTTATCACGAAATTAAAATAAAACACATTTAGAAAAGCTCTTGTTTAAGGGAATTGATGCTGATTAATTTTATTTATCCAAAGCCATTGTTCAAAATAACTGACTGTACAAGTAAACTCACACAAAATTGTAGACTATAATGAAGACTTTTAATGACTTGTATCCAGGTGTTTTTCCATGTGATTTGTTTAATTTTTCATGAATTTATAAGAAACAAAGACGACAGAAAAACATCCACATGTTTAACAAACAGATACACTGGATTCTTATCACTAATACAATTCAAGTTCACATCTTATTGAAATATACAGAAGAAATTTCATGAAATTGTTAACGAGTAGGATAGTGTACCCACTCACAAGTGAATACTTATTTTTGTGCAAAAATACAACATACCTATATACTTTTAATGGAGGAAATAAAAGACAAAAATAAACTCTCACTCTTAACCAGACCCTTAAACTAATATTAAACACATATAAAAGTTATTATTTTCCTATACTGAAAATATATTTCCAACACAGTACCTTACCTCTTCTCGCATAAAAGACTATTCTCGTTCAGAGCTGCCATTTATATGCAAAATGTTTTCACATGCTACAAGCCTTGAAACTCCCACCTACACCACGCTTAACGTGGTACACTGCATATTCACATGTAAATCATCATACGACAACCCTCCACCATAAGAGTGCACTACACCCTCCTGACACACGACTCCCTCTATTCGATTCTACTGAACTATCACTTCAAAATTAAGCAGAAAGTAAACACTGGCTTTAAATGAGGAAGAAGGGTGGAAAGCATAAGATTAGGTAAGTACTTATTGGAAATATGTTTTCAGTGTAGAAAAACAATAACTTCCAACACGGTACCTTACCTCTACTCACATAAAAGCTAAAATCACACATTGAAAAGGTGGATGGATTGGTGCAAGGGATATAGATAAGCATCCTTTGTAAGCATCTGAAGAACACTCTTGAAGTGTGAACCCCTGTTGGGAGAGGAACACACGTTGGAGACTGCACCACTTCTGTACCAGATATACTCTTCACCTAGTTAGGTAGTAGGTGTCGTATAAACTGGCAGATATGAACTGCAATGTATGACTGAAATCACCATGGGAAGGAACTGGATAGGAGAGTAAGCATAAAGTTGGTCCAGTCTTGACTGAGAACATCTACTGCTATGACATGTGGATGAGGAAAAGGAGACAAAATAAAAAAGGTAACTTGATATTGAGGAAAGTGGCAAAAGCATCTAGATAAGGAGTACCCCATTCGAGAGACTACTTTGTGGGGGAAAGATGATTTGCCACGAGGTTGAAAGCACCTGGAAGATGACATGCTACGAGATGTATCTGCAGTGTGTGGGCCCAATAAAGTAGTTCCAATATTTGACCACAGAGGGAACAATAACAGGTGCATCCTTGGTTGAAATAAGAGCTAATGGTAGAATTGTCTTAATGGCTCAAGACAAGTCTGTTCCATACAATAGGACAAAAATGATCCAAAGCATGTCGTAATGCCAGAAGCTCCAAGATGTCGATATGGTATGACATTTCTATCTGAGACCATTGTCTGTAAGCCTCCTGCTGATCAACCCCTGACCTTAACCTCACAGAGAAGCATTGGTGAACAGATGCAAATCCAGACAAGGAGAAAGTAGTACCTCCACCATAGTTTTGTCTCTATTCAACCAACGATGGAGATCGTCAAGAAGAGAAGGGGAGGAAAAGTAACTGGGGAGTCCAAGGAATTCCAAGCAAGACTCCATTGGATGTGCAATCTCCACAGAATACAATGCATATGCACATAACCCAAGGGTATAAGGGCATCCATGGGAGCTCAAGCCCTCAGAAGCAAAAGAACCACACATGCAAAAAGAGAGGGAGAAGAAAATATGTTGAAAACTGAAAGCTTTGTCAAATGCAGGCAAAGTGAAGAAAGTTGGATCCGACAGAGTCAACTGTTGAAAAACACACCCAAGTGGACAAGATATTTGGTAGGAATCAGGAAAGACTTCTCCATCTTGAGAATCAGACCAACATAAGCTGCTTCTGTCAACAGCAGATGAGTGTGTTGAGAAGACATCAGTTTGGAAGGAGCTAACAGAAGCCATTTGTCCATGTAGTGGTGAAAGTGCAACTCTTGAACATGCATAAGTTGGGCAAAAGCTTTGACCACTCAACAAAACACATACGGTGCTAAAGCAAGCCTGAAAGGTATAGCATGAAACTGAAATACAACCCTGTTTAGGACAGATCGATAATAAGGTCATCCACAGGCCTGGAGAAAAAGCCCACTAAATGGTGAGAAAAGATTCCATGGTAAAGCAGGGAAGATCTAGATATTGATTGAGGGGGAGGCAGAGTGATTACAGTACATCGGCTCCTGGACTTCTTGGGGACAACAAAATGCCTAGAGTAAAAACCTGGGGAAAGCTAGCTGACAGGCTTGATAGCATGCTGTGATAGAAGAGTCTGAACAGCCTCAGATATACATTGACTGGTAGCAGGATCCTGCAGTAATGGGAAGGATATTGGGACCAAAGACAAAGTACATCTAAGAAACCACTGATTACCCATGGGTTGGGAGTGAACTCCCACCACCGGTGAAGAAATTGGACAAATATGCCTCTACTGGGCTGAATGCCACCAAATAGTCACCAGAACTATTGGCAAAAACTAAAAATGTGAAAGATGGGAAACAGGTATAGAGTAAGATATAGGAGAAGGCTGAGACAAATGAGCAACTAAGAAAGAAAGGATTGGGTGTAGCCTTGCAGATTCCATATGTGACTCCAAATATAAAAAATAAACCTATGGAGAAAGAGAGCCATCACAAATCACAAAAATATGTATAAATGAGAGATATAAGGTGAAGAGGAAGACGGGAAACTGAGCTTGGGATAAACAGGCAGGATCTGCTCACCACAAAAGCAAAAATGACTACAACTACTGAAAGTCAAGAAAGGGATCAAAGGCATGATAAGTAAGCCAATGCACAATGATCAGAAGCCCATGATGGATGAAAAGGCATGCTGGCACCATCCCTCAATTGAGAAATGAAATGTACAGCATGTACTTTAAATTCAAGAGAAGGAAGGAAGACAAAGGGCAGCATGTAACTTAACAGGGAAAGGATCATATGAAACTGGGGATACAGAAAATGTAACGAACCTAAGAAAACATATCCATAAACGCTAAGGTAAGCCTAACAGATTTCCATAGGAGAGGTACAGGAATTGAAGAAAACAAAAAGTCAGTCAAAATTCTCATAATCATGAACAGCCATTACAGGGATGGGATGATCTCACAAACTGTTGGAAAAAGAGGGACAAGACACGTAAAATTCAACTCTTTGCAAATGATGGCTGAAAAATTCCCAGCCGAGACTCCAACACCTGAAGCCTGTGACACAAAATACCAAGTTCATAATCAACTGTGAGAAAAAAATAAATAAAGGGAAGTTCTATTGACGATATACTACAGTTAATAAACTGTAGAAAAAATTATTATAAACATAAAAGAGGGAGTCACGTGCATCAGGAGGGTGTGTCGCACTCCTATTGGTGAGGGGCTGTCACATGATGACTTACATGTGAATATGCAGTGAGCCACATTGATGCTTGGGTAGGTGGGAGTTTCAAGGCTTATGGTAAGTAAAAACATTTTGTATATAGAGGGCAGCATTGAACAAGAATAGCTTTTATGTGAATGGAGGTAAGGTACTGTGTCAGAAATTATACCTGCATTACTTAGGAGTAACTTGCATGGAATTGTATGTGCTGAGGTGGGGTTAGGAAAAACCAGCTCTATTCAATTATGAGAATAGGAAATTTCTCAATCATAACAATAAGTACAATATAACTCAAATCTTGAGTTGAATACAATTGTAATTACCTCTAATGACTTCTCTTGTTCCTGTAACTGGCTTTTCATCTCCTCCACCTAATTAAACAAACTTCCAGTTAAAAAGTATCCTAATACTATAACTTTAGAAAAGTTACAACTGTTACCCCAAAATCCTTAACTGGTTTAAACAAGCAAACACTGCAAGATATTTATATTTTGCCTTTTTTTTTGTTCAGCATTTAGTTTCAGTGCACAACTCATAAACAATCAACACATACTCTTTAATAGAAAAAAAAAGAAGTTAGACTATATTTTGAATTCAATCCAGTGGTGGGATTCAGGCGGTTCGCACCGGTTCATGCGAACCTGTTCTTAGAATTTAATGACCTCCACAAACCGGT